GCCTTTCTATTTTAACTGTTACTGGTTAATGTTTCTACCTGCTATTTATATTTTACCCTACATTTCACTGCATCCAGTACAATAAAACTAGTTCCTTTACCATAACCAGTCTGTCGTTTACTTCATGATACTAAACCATAGTTATGTTCAGGATTTTTATATTTATACTTCAAGAATATTGGCAGTATCTATTCACTTAACCTGGTGATTCAGAGGGGCGAAGACCCCCCGTTCACAGGAGTCACAGCAAAGAACAGACGACCCCAAACTAACGATAGTGGCTCCTGCGAGGGTTAGCGCTACAGAAACAAAATACAGCCATCCACATCTATATGCAAGGGATGCTGGGGGATAGCCAGTGTGAGCTTGTTTGGGCCCTTGTGAAGAGTAATGAGACTCGCCATTGTAATTTTTGCTGTTATATTGATTCTTTCATCACCTTTCTATAATCATCTTGCCAATCGCCCTGTATCAGTTTTATGTGGAATACATTTAAATAAATGAGGGCCATGTGTGGCCTTATCAGAAGTTCATAGCTGTAGCTGTCAATATCACATGGTGAGAACAGACATAACACCAGGACTCAAATATAGAGATGAGCGGAAATATTCCAAAAATTGCGGATTTCGGCTGATTCGGCAAATTCACAGAATAAATTCGATTTCGAGTCGAATATAATTCGCTATGCGAATGTTAACTTATAAAAAAGGGTGTTTCTAGGCTTCCACGAGAGCCTTTATATTAGTTGCAGCAACACTGTACCATTTTACTTTAACATGGCCACCTTGGAAGTCTGAGCTGGGGAAGAGAACAATAATACTGACAGTCCAGTAATTAACATGCATATGAGTGCCGTCGATCTTAGTATCAACCGCACACTGTCACTCATTTGGGCAGACACGGGGCCAAGAACCAGAAGTGTGATAAGCCACACAGTGTGGGCGGTGGGAGCCAGCAAGCAAAAGGAAGTGACCATACAGCAACCCTATGACAAAATGGAACCCACCAGCAGTGTGAGCGATACCTGAAAAAAAGTTGGCACAAGGCAGAGTGTGGCAGAGGAGACCAGCAGCCAATGGGAGATCCAGTACAGGGGACCCATGACACACTCTCAGACCTGGCAGCAGCATGACGGAGCGCGGTTACAAGGTGGCCCATGACAAGATAACCGGGGCCTGGCAGCAGCAATGAGGAGACGGGTACGGGGGGCCCAAGGCAGGTTACGGCCTGGCAGCAGCAATGGGAGGCCCGTACAGGGAACCCATGAACAACACTCTGGTACCTGGCAGCGAGCATGATGGAGGCGGGTAACAGGGAGGCCCATGACACGATTTGGGCCGGGGGGGGGGGTCTGGCAGCAGCATGAGGAGTCGGTAACAGGGGCCCATGGCCAGATTAAGTGGCCTGGCAGCAGCGAGCTAATGGGAGGGCCCGTAATCTGCCAGCACCCTATGACAAAATGGAAACATTGCAGCAGTGTGAGGAGGACCTTGGTAAGTGGCACATGTGCAGATTACGTGGCGATGGGCAAGACAGCATGCCAATGGGAAGGCCGGGGGGGCCCATGACACACTCTGGGACCTGGCAGCAAGCAGCACTGAGGAGGCGGTACAGGGGTCCCATGACAGATTACGGGCCTGGCAGCAGCATGAGGAGTCGGTAGGGGGCCCATGGCAGATTACGGCCTGGCAGCAGCAATGGGAGGCCATACTGCCAGCACCCTATGACAAAAAATGGAACCCACCAGCAGTGTGAGGAGACCTGAAAGTGGCACATGGCAGAGTGTGGCGATGGAGACAGCAGCAATGGGAGGCCGTACAGGGAACCATGACACACTCTGGACCTGGCAGCAGCATGAGGAGGCGGTACAGGGGCCCATGACAGATTACGGCCTGGCAGCAGCATGAGGAGTCGGTACGGAGGGGCCCATGGCAGATTACGGGCCTGGCAGCAGCAATGGGAGGCCTGTACAGGGACACCCTATGACAAAAATTGGAAACACTTCTGGACCTGCAGCAGCAGAATGGAGGCGGTACAGGGGCCCATGAGAGATTACGGCCCTGGCAGCAGCATGAGGAGGCGGTACGGGGCCCATGGCAGATTACGGGCCTGGCAGCAGCAATGGGAGGCCGAATCTGCCAGCACCCTATGACAAAAATGGAACCCACCAGCAGTGTGTGGAGACCTGAAAGTGGCACATGGCAGAGACAAATGTGGGACACTAGATGGCAGCAGCAATGGGAGGCCGTACAGGGGGCCCATGACACATAAGGGGCCTGGCAGCAGTGAGGGGCAGGTACAGGCCCATGAAATTACGGCAGCACCCATGACAAGTGTGGAAACCAACCATGCAGATTGACGGACCCTGACCAGCAATGGGAGGCCGTACAGGGACCCATGACGACACTCTGGACCTGGCAGCAGCATGAGGAGGCGGTACAGGGGCCCATGACAGATTACGGGCCTGGCAGCAGCATGAGGAGTCGGTACGGGGGCCCATGGCAGATTACGGGCCTGGCAGCAGCAATGGGAGGCCCGTAATCTGCAGCCCCTATGACAAAATGGAACCCACCCAGCAGTGTGAGGAGACCTGAAAGTGGCACCATGGCAGATGCAGAGTGTGGCGATGGAGACAGCAGCAATGGGAGGCCGTACAGGGACCCATGACACACTCTGGACCTGGCAGCAGCATGAGGAGGCGGTACAGGGGCCCATGACAGATTACGGGCCTGGCAGCAGCATGAGGAGTCGGTACGGGGGCCCATGGCAGATTACGGGCCTGGCAGCAGCAATGGGAGGCCGTAATCAGCCAGCACCCTATGACAAAATGGAACCCACCAGCAGTGTGAGGAGACCTGAAAGTGGCACATGGCAGAGTGTGGCGATGGAGACAGCAGCAATGGGAGGCCGTACAGGGACCCATGACACACTCTGGACCTGGCAGCAGCATGAGGAGGCGGTACAGGGGCCCATGACAGATTACGGGCCTGGCAGCAGCATTCAGGAGTCGGTACGGGGGCCCATGGCAGATTACGGGCCTGCAGCAGCAATGGGAGGCCATACAGCACCCATGAGCAAAAAATGGAAACCCGTACCAGCACCCTATGATTCACAAAATGGAACCCACCAGCAGTGTGAGGAGACCTGAAAGTGGCACATGGCAGAGTGTGGCGATGGAGACAGCAGCAATGGGAGGCCGTACAGGGACCCATGACACACTCTGGACCTGGCAGCAGCATGAGGAGGCGGTACAGGGGCCCATGACAGATTACGGGCCTGGCAGCAGCATGAGGAGTCGGTACGGGGGCCCATGGCAGATTACGGGCCTGGCAGCAGCAATGGGAGGCCCGTAATCTGCCAGCACCCTATGACAAAAATGGAACCCACCAGCAGTGTGAGGAGACCTGAAAGTGGCACATGGCAGAGTGTGGCGATGGAGACAGCAGCAATGGGAGGCCGTACAGGGACCCATGACACACTCTGGACCTGGCAGCAGCATGAGGAGGCGGTACAGGGGCCCATGACAGATTACGGGCCTGGCAGCAGCATGAGGAGTCGGTACGGGGGCCCATGGCAGATTTGACGGGCCTGGCAGCAGCAATGGGAGGCCTGTAAGTGGACCCATGACACACTCTGGACGATGGAGACAGCATGAATGGGAGGCGGTACAGGGACCCATGACAGATTACGGGCCTGGCAGCAGCATGAGGAGTCGGTACGGGGGCCCATGGCAGATTACGGGCCTGGCAGCAGCAATGGGAGGCCCGATAATCTGCCAGCACCCTATGACAAAATGGAACCCACCAGCAGTGTGAGGAGACCTGAAAGTGGCACATGGCAGAGTGTGGCGATGGAGACAGCAGCAATGTGGGAGGCCGTACAGGGACCCATGACACACTTGGACCTGGCAGCAGCATGAGGAGGAGGCGGTACAGGGGCCCATGACAGATTACGGGCCTGGCAGCAGCATGAGGAGTCGGTACGGGGGCCCATGGCAGATTACGGGCCTGGCAGCAGCAATGGGAGGCCATACAGCACCCTATGACAAAATGGAACCCACCAGCAGTGTGAGGAGACCTGAAAGTGGCACATGGCAGAGTGTGGCGATGGAGACAGCAGCAATGGGAGGCCGTACAGGGACCCATGACACACTCTGGACCTGGCAGCAGCATGAGGAGGCGGTACAGGGGCCCATGACAGATTACGGGCCTGGCAGCAGCATGAGGAGTCGGTACGGGGGCCCATGGCAGATTACGGGCCTGGCAGCAGCAATGGGAGGCCCGTAATCTGCCAGCACCCTATGACAAAATGGAACCCACCAGCAGTGTGAGGAGACCTGAAAGTGGCACATGGCAGAGTGTGGCGATGGAGACAGCAGCAATGGGAGGCCGTACAGGGACCCATGACACACTCTGGACCTGGCAGCAGCATGAGGAGGCGTACAGGGGCCCATGACAGATTACGGGCCTGGCAGCAGGCCGTAATTGCCAGAGGCCTATGACAAAAAATGGAATACACCAGGCAGTGTGAGAAAGTGGAATGGCAGCAGCATGGCAGGAGTCGGTACGGGGGCCCATGGCAGATTACGGGCCTGGCAGCAGCAATGGGAGGCCCGTAATCTGCAGCACCCTATGACAAAATGGAAAACCCACCAGCAGTGTGAGGAGACCTGAAAGTGGCACATGGCAGAGTGTGGCGATGGAGACAGCAGCAATGGGAGGCCGTACAGGGACCCATGACACACTCTGGACCTGGCAGCAGCATGAGGAGGCGGTACAGGGGCCCATGACAGATTACGGGCCTGGCCAAGCACCTTGACAAAAAATGCAGCATGAGGAGTCGGTACGGGGGCCCATGGCAGATTACGGGCCTGGCAGCAGCAATGGGAGGCCATACAGCACCCTATGACAACAAAATGGAACCCCACCAGCAGTGTGAGGAGACCTGAAAGTGGCACATGGCAGAGTGTGGCGATGGAGACAGCAGCAATGGGAGGCCGTACAGGGACCCATGACACACTCTGGACCTGGCAGCAGCATGAGGAGGGCGGTTACAGGGGCCCATGACAGATTACGGGCCTGGCAGCAGCATGAGGAGTCGGTAGGGGGGCCCATGGCAGATTACGGGCCTGGCAGCAGCAATGGGAGGCCCGTAATCTGCCAGCACCCTATGACAAAATGAACCCACCAGCAGTGTGAGGAGACCTGAAAGTGGCACATGGCAGAGTGTGGCGATGGAGACAGCAGCAATGGGAGGCCGTACAGGGACCCATGACACACTCTGGACCTGGCAGCAGCAAGAGGAGGCGGTACAGGGGCCCATGGCAGAGTGGCGAAGCGTAAGCAGCTTAAATTGAAGGCCATACAGAGGCCTATGTTAAAAATAATAAACATGTTTGGGGCATGATTCATGGCGGATTTAGTCAGTTGTGTCAGGAACTGGTGGTTTGAAATCCAGACTAATCCACGCCTGATTCATTTTCACAAACGTGAGTCTCTCCACACTTTGGGTGGACAGTCGTGTCCTCCGCGGAGTTACAATACCTCCTGCCGCACTAAACACGCGCTCCGATGCCACGCTACTGGCCGGGCATGACAGCCTTTCAAGGGCAAATTCAGCTAGTTGGGGGACGGCCAAAGGTCAAGTTTCGTTGCCCAGTAGTCAAGGGGATTGTCTACCTCGGTTGGCAGGGTGCTGTCCAAGTAGGCCCAAGCCTGTTGTTTGAGGTCCTGCTCCAGGTCCACCTGATGCTGCTGCTGCTGCGGCTGGTTAGTAGTTTCCTCACTACGCTGGTGAAGAAAAGCTACTCATCATCGACTGCAGACTGAGGCAGCCGCTGCTGGTGGAGCTGCCACTGCTCCTACCACCCCACCCCTTCCCTGCTGCCATGGCAGCGGAACGCGAGCGCACAGGGCCCACAGTGTCTGAGGATGGACGTTGGCGCAGAAAGGCAGAGACCAACTGACTACATAGGTGGTTTTTTTAGTACGTTATTTTGGCCTCCCTCTCAGCAGGTGTGAAAAAGGCACCATTTTGAACGGTAGCGAGGGCCAACAAGGTGGACAGCCAAAGTCATCCCTCTGTCTGATGGTTATTATTCGGCTGTCGCTACGCAAGCAACCGAGCATGCTATGGGCCATTTGTGCCAAGGAATGCGAGGGACTCCCTGCCTCCATCTCCACAGCATACTGCCACGGTGCGTCTGGGTCCTCTGTCCTCTCCTCCTCCTCCTCTACCAGATGCTCCTGCTCCTCCACTCCTGTCCGCTGAGTGGAAAAACCACCCATTTCACTCAATAATTCCTGGAGCACCAATGCCCTCCTCTACCTCCTCCTCTTCTTCCTGTCCTGCCCCACAGGGGTCATGTGGCGTTGAGATCTGTGCGCCACGTCTACCGCACCCTGACCAGCCATTGTTAACAGCATTTGTTCCAGGACGTGCAACAGAGGAATGACGTCGTTCATCCCATAGTCCTGCCGACTCACGAATAGCGTGGCCTCCTCAAAGGGCCTGAGCAAGCGGCAGGTGTCACGCATGAGCTGCCAATGGCTGACATCTAAGTTACACAGGGGAGTACCTTTATCCGCTTGTAACATCAGGAATCGGTGATGGCCTTTCGCTGTTCGTAAAGGCGGGTCTAACCATATGTAGGGTTGAATTCCACCTTGTTGCAACGTCGCAGATCAGGCGATGCTGGGGAATTCCGTTCTGCCGCTGCAGCTCAAGGAGGGTGTGCTTTGCGGTGTAGGGAATGGCTGAAATGCATGCAAAATGTTTACGTGACATTTTAAGGATGTCTTGCAGAGTGGGATGGTGGATTTTAGGAAACGCTTGACAACCAGATTGAACACGTGAGCCATGCATGGCGCATGGCACAACCTTCCTTGACGCAGAGCAGGACACCATGTTTTTCCGTTGTCGGTTCAACATGGTTCCGATTTTCAGTTTGCGCGGAGACAGCCATCTGTCGATTTCTCTGTTCATTACACTCAGAAGTTCCCATGGCCTCTGTGTGGCAGCAATACGTTCGCCAAGGCATACCAGGTGCGTGTGCACAGCGTGGACACCGTTGCGCCCTGCACATGTGATATGCCGGTCGGGTAATGGGACTTGGGGGCACGGGGGATGTGGCGGCTGAGGACACGGCGGAAGAAGAGGTGGAACAGAGGCGGACATCTTTGCTGGACCAAGGACGTGCAAACGTGGAGGCAAAAGCGGGCGTGACTGTCCAAGTTGCTGGTGCGGCTGTGCCGGCACCACGTTCACCCAGTGGGCCGTAAATGAATGTACTGTCCCTGACCGTAGTTAAGCTCCACACGTCGGCGCTTGCCGTGCACTTTGGCAGAGACCGACATGCTCAAAGACTGGCCCCCATCTCTTCTACATGTGAATGCAGGGCTGGCACTGCCTTTTTTCTAGGCGAAGAAATGCCGGCTTGGCACTCTCCACCGCGGCTCGGCACAAGCCATCATTTCGGAAAGGTGCTGAGTCCACCACTTGGAAAGGAAGGGACTGCAGCACCAGCAACTTGGACAGGAGGACGTTCAGCCCTTCTGCACCGTCGGGTGCGTGCTCGCAAACTGTTGTCTCTTGGAAACGGATTCCAAGAAAGACTGCTGACGGAATCCGTGAAGAGGAGTAGCAGGAGAAGGAGCATCTGAACGAGCGGAAGATGCCAACGAGCGACAACTCCCCTCAGCAGAGGTGTTGGAGCCTTGACTGGCTGATAGAGGGCGATTGACGGTATGACGGGAAGACGGAGCAAGTAACGGAGCGGGTGATGGAGCGGGGGCTGGGGCAGGCAGAACCACCGTATCTTTATCACGGTTTTCCCAGGCCACCGAATGGCGACGCTGCATATGCTGACGCAACGCTGTAGTCCAACATGGGCCCCCTGGCCACGCTTGACTTTCTGGCCACATAGTCGACATACGGCTACGTTTACTTCCTCGGGCGGCTTGACGAAAAAATTGCCATACCGCCGAGTAGGAAACTTTGCCCTCCCGCTACTCCTCTCATGGCTGAATGCTACTTCCTCCATGCACAACCGCGGCACCACTACTGGCCGTGGTGGTAGGCTGCCTGGAGTGGTGCTCTCTACTGTGCCGTTTGCCTCCATGACACTGCTGCGACCCCTGTGTCCCTGAGTAACACCGATGTTTTTGCTGTGGCCTCCTGGGCAACCCACGACGAGTTTTGTTGCTGCCCTCAATTAGGGTGGCACCCTCTTACTCCTGATGATGTGGGTCTGGAGTAGCAATT